CATTGAACAATGTCGCTCTTGATGATGCCAATCTCATTTTCCTACAATGGCCGTCACGCCTAAAATTAGGCGCGACGAGACGCCCGGATTCCGGACATTCCGGAATTCGCATACTTATGACACCACTATTACACATATGAAAATGTACAAGAAAAGTGYACAAGATTATAAAAAAAGACTTTTCGTACACTTGTYAATGTGAAGTGTGTATACTGTACATAATTATAAATTATAACACTTTTGAAAAATTAATAATCTCTTTCTGTGTATAATTTACAAAAATCGTAGTTAATTTTATGGACGTTATACTTACAATAATTTACATCAGTAGTGTACTATGTACAGAGTGATTTACTGATTTTAATAGTTGTGCAAAAATTTTAAGAGTTCAAAAGAGTCAAASTAACTAAACTTGTCTTATCTGAATGTTTTATAGTCGCTGAGTTGTAGAGAGTGCAACTTCCATTCTACCATCAATAAATTCGTCAAAAAACGCAACATAAATGAAGTTTGCATCTTTTGAGTAGATAGTGTTCGTCAAAAGAATTGCGTAATTTTTACTTCTTTATTACTTTGTGTACAAAAGATGATGATGACATTTCTTATGACTGTTTTTGCTACTTTTAACTTGCACAACTATTTTTTATATTATTATTGAGTTCAACCTGTATAGTAAGTACCTATTGCAAGAAAATGTAAAATCCTAATTAATTACAATAATGTGGTGAAAGCAACTTTAGCGACTTTACTGCCATAATATGCAAAAGTGCACAAATTTGGTTACAGTTTAGTCAAACAAATTTTCATTGTGCATCTTGCAGTACGTAATAATAAATGAAATATAAAAAGAATGATGATCTGGCTACGTCTAATATTTGATGATTAACAATTCAAAGAAGTCATTTATTACGCAATTTTATAATTACTTCTGATTTCTGAAACTTTTGAGACGTTATTATGATTTCAAATATGTACTTACATGTTGTATACATACTGAGTGAATAGGTGTAGGTATAAAGTATGGGAACAAGCAGTTTTTTTAATCATTTGCTTCTAGAAAATAATAATTGATATAAATTAAAATACTATAAAAACTGTGACCGTATTTTGAGAACGAAATTTTGTTTTGTTTGTGTTTTGCAATCTATGTAAAAAAATTATTAAATATAAAGTAGATAGTTATAATCCTTAGATCATAATCTTCATAAAAAAAGTTATAGTGGGTTGCCATATAAAAAAAATTGTAGAACTCAAAAACAAAAGGAAATTTCAAAAAAAATTATTCTTGATAAAACATCACATTTTTGTAGTAGGTACTTTATCATTCATCAATTAGTGTTTCCAAAAAATAAATAGTTTAAGCAAAAAACGTTTGTTTCATTCACACCTGATGCTACATACGTATTTCCAACCCACAATTCTTGTAAAGCATCGACACTGCAAGGTTTATAAAATACTAATTCAACAAATCACTTTCCAGAAAATAGGAGTTAAATAATATTTAAATAAAATAAGATCTTAGTAAAATATGCTCATACATTATTATGTATGTATATTTAAGGTTAAATAAAAAAAAACACAAAAAATTAGAAAAAAGCACACCTTTTCGCACACCTTGCGATGTTTACTAAAAAAAATTCTGAAAATGTATTGTTCATTTTATTTCTTTTTTATTTATCGTAGTAGATATGTACTTATTCTATAAATCTAGCGAGATTCCGAAAAAATAGGTAGATTTTTATTAAACCCAAAAGCAGTTTCTCATTTTCAAACAATATCTGTGCAAACTTCTTGTTAGTAAGCAGCAAAAATTTCAACAATTTTTTGTATGAGAGTACAAAGCTTGTAAAATTAATTAGTCGAACTTCTTTCTGTTTTTCAGTAAATAGTAAGTATACCTTTTTATATTATTATATGAGCAACTATGACAGTCATTAGTTGATGTTTGAGCCCTTGGCGATGGTCATAATTGCGAATGTGATACTTTTTCTGCACCAATTAAAAAAATAGACTTAAATTTGTAATTTAAGGCTATTTAAATATCATTGGTTCAGCGCAAGAGTGATTCTTGACGATTGGCCGGATACAGTGATAATTCACTACAATGAATTGTAGGAATAATTTTTCACAAAAAAATGCTAATCATTGTAATATAATTAAAGAAGTGTAGAAAAAATACATTAACCAAGTCTTAGATTAGCTAAGACACTTGAAGAATGATATAAAATTATTGTTTCAGATGATAATAATAATTACAAGAAAGCATTTTAACGACCTTTAAAATCGCCGTATTATTAGTATTTTCAGTGTTTACAGGAAAATTAATGCTAAATAATTCTACAACAATCTACAGGTGCGTAAATACGTAAAACAAACWGAATTTTCAGAAACCAAAGTTTATTGAAGATACTTTTATCCGAAATTTTTATTTTAATGGATGCTAATGTAAAAAAAGAAAAATAAACCATTTAATATCTCAAAAATTTCCTTCAATTAATTTTAGGAGAGTTAGGATATGGTTTGTTCTATCAGTCAGGAAACATTTAAACTGTCTTTAGCTTACCATACTTGAAGACTTGCTAAAATAGTAAAAACTGATTAAATCGAGTAAATAAGTTGTTTTATTTCATTCTTACAATTAATGAGTTTTAAATGGAATTCAAATTCCGTATTTTCTCTTACCAACATTGTAGATTAAACAAATTCATAATGACGGAGGGTATAAGATTTACATAATTCTTTGATGAATGTTTTTATTATTTGTTTTTATACAACATGTAACGGCTCTGTTTACAGCTCTGTGCATATTCTTATCACTTCACTTGTAACTGGATATGTTATTCTTTTGAATTAAGCTCTTATCATAATATATCAAATATTTATTTTATGTTTTTTTTTGGTTTTCGCTTAATACTCTTGACTACAGGGTACCTACCATTACTTTAATTAATAAAGGTAAAAATATTGACTTTATTAAAGTACGGTTTCCCTAAATAATTTTCTCGTTAATTATATCTCTCTTCGCGCATTAGCTTAGGCCAGTATCGTCAGCATCCRATTTCATTAACCCCCAAGTGGTCGTCGATGATTTTCAAAACGGCCCATTCAATTAAACGGCATTTATGCTCGAGTGCTGGCTCTAGTTTATGGCATCGTCTCGGCATAAATAACAATAAGAAAAAGATTTAGCGCGAAGATTTCAAATTGAAAAAGTGTAAATTGCATTCCGGATTGCATTTAAATAAATACGCGGCAAGTGAATGTGTTTCTTGTTGACACGTTGGTAAATTGGTTTCGGCGCGTTGCTTTTTTCCTTATCTCTGATTTGATCGTGCACTTTAAGCAGTGCGATTTCCCTCGGGAGTCTTTCAATTTGCGGGAAACGCCACCCCCGAGGGCCCCGAGCGGAAGCTGCTTTTAATTAAGTGCTGTGTCATTTTTATTTATAACGATTCGCTAATATCGTATTTTAAGTACATTTTTAATTAGTTTGCTCCTTTAATTGTGTTTCCCATCTCGTTGATGGATTGATAAACGTGCCAGATAATGGACACTTGGCTGAATTCTCTTCAATAGTTGTCATTGAAACGGCATCAGACGATATGACTAACAGTGGGTTTTTGCCGTTTACTTATTCAACAATTGCTCTCAACGACGTATTTTCATTAACGACGTCAATTATCACAATAAATTATTCATTGGCGGTGAAGAAAAATACTATGGACGAAAATTTGCCGGAAGTGACGTCCATAAGACACCTGTTGAGAAAAACCGAAGATTTGTCAACGTAATTCGTACTGGTCGCAAATACCGATTTCGAATCTAATCACATCTTGTTTATTACAGTGGTAAAATTCTGTTTATTTTTAAAAGATATCGGTATTTTCAATCTTGCTTGCCAAATTCTTGTTTGCAATCAAAATTTAATGGAAAGATGTTCCAACCAGAAATAAATATGGACCAAGTTTTAATGAAATTACAACAAAAAATTGCCTGTTTATTTTTTTCACCTTTCAACTGTACCGATTCCATGTCAAAACAATACACAATTACATTTTAATTGTTGAAGATAAGATATTATCTTAAAAAAATTACAAGCACTTCGTACAACGGACATCTTTACAATTAATTATTGAAGCAGCGATAAAAGGTCACAGTTCTATTGTCTAAAAGTACAAATTATTTACCAGCTCTTATTTATTTGTACCACTTAAATTTTTCAGTAACAATAACCAACTAGCACTTGATTTTACGTACTTATGAGTTTTTGCTCATAAWAAAAATCAATCAGAAAAAATTTAATATAACAAACTTGATTTCTCACACCTTCCTGAATAACACAATTGTTTAATTCCAAACAACACCACTAATTCTGTAATAAGGTTATTTATATGTTCCTCCCTACGATTTCTCTATCTAGATAGTAGGTAAATAAATAAAACGTTACAATTTATGTGGGAGTAAAAATTTGTTACTCTGGTTAGTCAACAAAATTAAAATAAGTAGTACTCGAATTAAATTTTTATAAAAATTGCTTTTCGGAAGTTGTATTGCAAAAACGAGCTATTCTTAAAAAAGTAGTTTTTACAATGGTGCGCCATCTGTACATCAGCTTCCGAAAAAATAAAGAAAACTTTATTAAATACTTAGTATGCAACACATTTTTCATATTATTGTGAAAGTGTGTCTTTATCCATGGATATGCAAGCAGCAATACATTTATTAAATGCAAAATAACTCCTGCCAACTTATTATTCGCGTGAACGTTTTGTAGATGAATGTGTTATTACTCAATCTGTTATGTTCCTTCAAGTCAAGATAGCTTAATGTCATTATTTAACTCGGAGCAGAAAAACTGATTAGCACCCGGTTAAATTAAAATTTGTTTGTTTTGTGTTGAATTTAAATGTGTTTTATTGGGTCGGTGACTTGGGGGTCATTAAACGAATAAAGTTGGTGCGGGCGCCTAATCGAATTGTCGCGCAATAAAAATAAAAGAGTTTAATATGAAATGTGATTTATTTGCGGAACTGCAATCAACTACTGTCTTCAACCATGTTAAAAAATCTAAATAAAAATATGTATTGTATTGTCACATATTCGCTTTTCTTAAATTCTTTGACAATAGGTAAAATGTCACATGAAGCATTAAAAGAAGTCTTTTACCAATCAAGCACAATACAATATATTTCACATGATTGACATTCATACATAATCGCAAAAGCGATACCTAAAATAKTTTCAGTAATTAATATTAACTAACTATAGTAGCGGAAAACAATCTCTCGTTTTCGGCCATTGTACAGAATTCCAATAGCTTGTTGCAGATCTCCAAACACTGAACGATTTTAATAAACATGTTTTTTTATCTCTTTTAGTCTTTAAAAAAAAAGTAAAAACAATAAAAGAAAACATGTTGATTAAAATTTATTAAATTATAAGACAATAAGTTAATAATATAAATTTATTTCATAATACAGTATGTTGACAAACGGGAATGTTCACGAGACTGATTAGCCAATATATATTTTATGACGATTTTTATTTATTTTCAAATTTTATTATAAATCACTTGCGCTCCGCTGTTTGTCAAAAAGAAAACCTATTTCTCAACGGCTATCCGTAAACATGAATTACGATAATTAATGCAAAAGAAAAAATAACCAAGAAAAGTAAACAATAAAATGTTTTGAGCTGTGCTCAATAAAAGATGTCCTATGATGAACATGGAACCTACCATATGTTACAAATAAAAAATCTCACACGAAAACTACTGTACAAGTTATAAATACACTTAAAATATGTACTGAAAATACAAAAAAAAAAACACGTGTCATAGCTGGTAGGACTCTACTGTTTGCCCTCCATACCTACAATAAAAAATCAAAAAAACACGTTAAACGAATTTATTAAAGAGAGTATGTTCGACAAACAGTGGATGTGACAGTTGTTAATTGCAACATATGGTATAGTAACATTGACAGTCCCAATCACAATAATTTTAAGTGATTGCTTCTGAACAAAAACTGAAAAATAATGAAAACACTGCACTTTCTTTAACGGTTGGCATTCTTCAGTTGGTTGGAGAGCCAGTCCAGACCCTCGTATAAACCATCTCCGCTAGTCGCACAGGTCGCCTGGATATACCAGTTGCGATTCCTCAACGAGTGCAGTCCCAACTTATCCGTAATCTCAGCTGCGTTCATTGCATTCGGTAGATCCTGCTTGTTCGCGAAAATTAAGAGAACGGCATCTCTGAGCTCGTCCTCAGCTAGCATGCGCATCAGTTCGTCTTTTGCTTCACCTATACGCTCCCTGTCGTTACTATCCACTACGAAGATTAGGCCCTGCAACAAATGATTGCTAACAAAAAAAAAAAAAAAAACACTTCGAGTGAACGCATCCTACACAAACTAACTTCCTGTTCTTTTTTAAAATTCTTTTCGATACACGAACACAACACGATTTCATTACTTAGCTTGATAATTACACCTAAATTAGTACATATTTGTAACAAACGACCGATATTTCAAATCGTAATTCCGGTAAAGCGGGCCAAAAAACAATTCAAATTTAAAAAGTGGGACATATCAGTGTGTTTTTACTTTGGAAAATACAGGTGTGTTAGAACTCGCGCCCCAGAGAAAAATTTCAAGGAAGATAAGATACCAGAACCATGGAAAAATGTCAATTTTTTTATGTCCACTTAATGATACTGATAATCTTGTATGTTATTTATAATTAGTTAGTAAAAGTACAAAAATTTTGCCAATAAAAGCCACAAATAACATTAAACAGAGTTACAATTTAGGATAGAGCTTCCTTGTTTTCTCTTCTAACAGCCTGTAGCAAAAAAACTTGGAAAATGCAGGTGTGACAAAATTTTCAAATCAAAATACATATTATTTATTTTGTATGTCTCAAAATGCCCAAACTATAAAGCGACAGTTTTACAACGGAAAAATTTTGTAATTAAATTGATATTTTTAAAGGTTTTTGTCATTAACTGTAAGAAAGAGGTTACTACAATTACCATAAACGTATCGAAGATAAAAAATGGAGCAGGCAACAGCAAAAAAAAAATTCGTCCGATATCCGAATCTCAAGTTTAGATATTTTTTACAAATGAAGTTAAGAAGTTGTTGATTACTATAAAAAACTTAATGACCAAAATCATGTGCTTCATGTCTTATTTAATACATTTGAGTTAATAATAAATAATAAAGTCCAAAGMATCAGATTACATAAATTAATAAATGTAAAAARATCGATTAGGATCAGTGTTTAYAGCCCTTATGATCTCGATTAATAAATGAATTGTTATTACCTTTAGTAAAAGATGTTTAAGAAAATGTGGAACAAAATCTAAAATCTTCAGAGCAAATCCTGAAACTGACATTTCATTGAAGAATAATTTAAAGGTCATTGTAACATTTAATAAAGCTTTATGTAAATGATCTAACATAAATTGATAATTAAAGCATAAAATTAATCATTTATATTTTTAATTGTAGAGCTGGTGTTTAAGATTATAATTCTGAATTAGGCAATTGTTAAAAATCTTTTTTGCAAATTGTTCGAAATCAAACAAATAATAAAAACAACTATCAAACATTTAAAATAACAATAAACATGAAACGTTAAATAATACAAATTGTTCTATCAATTTTCTATAAAAAAAATGCGTTTAGTAAGCCAAAACTACAAAGGAAAAGTCAATACAATTTAAACATTACCATGAAAATAACGAGAGTCTACAACAAAGAACTTTAAACCGCTCTTCTGTAAAATTATTCGGCATAGTGTCATATACCTCCAGGATCCAGATTTTTAAAATTAAACATGTTCTTTGGCAAAAATGGCAGTGATATTCGTAAAACACTATAATACATACACAACAGTCCTAAAATACTGCACATGTTTTTCATTAAAGCCATTACACTGGCAAAGTTCTAAAATTTGACCTTTGTAAAAATTATTATCACGGTTATATCCCGTTTGATAACTTCCTGATAGGAATAATTTATCTATTAAAAACCACTGGTGAAACGCCACATTGATGCGTCATCTGTCCCTTTATCACCTGTTGCCTGTATATGAAATATCGAATATTTGTAGTGTGAAAATTTGATGACGTCATGGATTCTGTTTTTCACCTGTCAAGTTCTCAGATGGCGCAATGATCGTTTTAAACAAATACGAAATTTTAAATCTCATAAAACACGCCCCCGGTTAGWTTTTTAATTAAAGTGTGTAATAAAATTGCCAAATCATTACGACGCAAACATAATTTTAATGAACGGAGATTTGATGGAGTGACGTCACATACCTGTGTGTTTTGGAAATAGTGTCTCCATAACGGCCTAATTTTGTCCTGACCGCCGACGTCCCATACTGTGAAGCTGATGTTCTTATATTCTACAGTTTCGACGTTAAATCCTGCAATTTTTTTGGTTATTTAGGTCAACTGGATTCTGATTGTGATAAAAACAGACACGTGTGTGTCAAAAAATTGTCTTACTCACCAATAGTGGGAATAGTCGTAACGATTTCTCCTAATTTAAGTTTATATAAAATAGTGGTTTTACCCGCAGCGTCTAACCCTACCATTAATATCCTCATTTCTTTCTTGCCAAAGAGGCCCTTGAATAAATTCGCAAACACGTTCCCCATGTTGGCTGCTGGACAATGTAAACCTAAAATCGCAAAAGAAAACATGAATCATCTGAATCGCATTTCCCAAGTCGGTTAAATTTAGAACAAAGAGTGAAAACGTTGAAACACAGGTTATTAATCTTTAAATAAATTGACATATCGATTTAACAAAAACTTCAGCGCGAGTCTCTGCGGAGCCCTCTGCAATCGGGCCTGGTGGAGGCCCGGGCCCCGTTACATATGAAACGCCGACTCTTGTTAGTCTCACCAGAGTCCGCACCCCCGGCGACCGACGCCCGCGTTTTCCGAAGGCCCCCCACACGCCCTTCTCGACCTTTTCCCACGTACCTCTCTTAAAACAACACTCTGCACACAAAGAAACGCTATCACATTCACCAATCCTCCCAAAAGTTGTCGTACGTCAATATGGCGGACGTAAAAGAGTTTCGTACTTCATGCCACGTCTTGGCCTACCGACTTTTCCATTGGCCGCCCCGCCCCACGTGACCCACCATTGCCAATCAAAACAATCTAACCTAGTGCAGGTGCAAAGGCGAAATTCCGCCGAATTGAGAGATTTTCTAAGTGCACCGACTCCTGGTTCACCATACGAACAATGCCATACCCAGAATCACCCTTCGGGGACGATTTCGATGAGAGAATCCTCGTCCAGAGAGTCGATGACGACGAAACAAACGTCAATGAGGTGAACACTGTTTGCGTTTTCACGACTGGCAGCACTGGATTAAAGTGCGCGATTGCAGATTCAAATTGGGGAGATCACGAAATGGCTCTGTGAAGCGCCGAAAATAACTTCTTTTAGGGTAAACACTCTCAAGGCCGACGTGGGRGAGATACACAGATATATTGAGGCATATGTGAGTGAGGCAATTTCGATATTTCATCGGGCGTTTACGTGATTAGTCACCCGTCATAATTAGATCATCTTAGACAGGACCGGCTTAATTTTTTTATTGTAAGATTGCAGATGCAGGGCAGAACCTCCACGTTGAAAAACACCCCAGCTGTGAAGATGCCATTATTGTACACCACACTGTATCAAACCAAATTCTCAAAAAATACAATAAAGAAATTATTATTGATGCGGTRTGTGGGGCTGCTGTTTTACGAGGGGCACACATTTATGCCCCAGGAGTTATAGGAATGATGACAAGTAATTAATTTTGCTCATAATTGGTCTTACAATTTATTAACTACGTTTGTTAGATATACAAGTTGGTGATAATGTCAGCATTTATGTTGATTTCGAAAAAAATAAGTGTAAAAAAGGTTTTCTGAAACTGTATGAAGGGAAGAAAATCTTCATCGGGAATGGTGAAGTAATTCTGGGACGWCATCAATTGTTTTGCGAGGCACCTCAAACGTAATAAGTTGCTCTCTAAACATTCAAAAAWCTGAAATTATGTGATTTTTTTAGTGGTATCGCTGTGAAAATGATTGAAACAATATCAAACTGCCCTCCTTTGTTAGGCGATAACTTTTTACCCCCAGGTGTAGCATTATTACAAAATCTACCCTCCATAGTTTGTATACACGTTCTTGCTCCTGGTTCCAATGACGTTATCTTAGATATGTGTGCTTCCCCGGGAAACAAAACGACGCATATTGCAGCCCTTCTCCAAAATCAAGTAAGCCAATCATTTACTTTAACATCAACTGACATTTTTCTAGGGCAAATTAATCGCAATCGATAAAACTCCCAGCAAAGTTAGACAGTTGAAGCAGCGTTGTGAACTTTTCGGTGCTAACGTTGAAGTTTTACAAGCCGATTCTACCAAATTGATTAAAGAAAATCGATTCAGCAGTGAATTTTTTGATAAAATTTTATTAGACGCCCCTTGCAGCGCCTTGGGAAAAAGACCACAACTAATTAATACAACGTCGCGGAAAATTCTGCGATCCTATGTTCCTTTACAACGAAAATTATTTGAAACCGTAGGTTGGCAATACTAACTTTAATTTTTTTAAGGATTTTTCAATTACAGGCCGTCCAACTTTTGAAAACGAATGGAATCCTAGTCTACAGCACTTGTACCATTACTTTAGCCGAAAACGAAGGAATTGTAGCTTGGGCTTTAAGAAATTTCAACCTCGAATTGATGGAAGCAACACCGATTCTAGCTGGTCCCGGTTGGGAAGGGACACAATTAACTAACGAACAACTGAAAAAAGTCCAGCGTTTTGGTCCCCAGCAATCCATAGACTCTGTAGGTTTTTTTATAGCAAAATTTGTGAAAGTAAAATAAATGTTTTAATCAGTATAGAATTTTTCATTATTTGAACCATGCCCTGTAACGGGTACATCAATAAAATACTGAGGAATATTCGTAATAATCCTCAGAGTCGCCATATATGTTTTGCAATGTCTTGGAGTAAAATACACCGCAATGTCGACAAACTGCTTATTAAGTCCGGTATTTGCTTCAAGTAGAGCACAACTGGGTTGTACCTCAAAATCATCATGTTCAGTAGTCTTTACAATTTCAAAACTTGTTAGGGCCCCTATATAACCAAAAATAATATTGGCAACACTTACACAATACCTAACCTGTCATGTTATAAATTGAAATCATACTTTTCTTAGTGCGAAATAGAAAACATTCTCCAAATCGGATGAAAGCAGGTTTTACCTCGATCTGAGGGTAGTGGAGGCGTACTTGAAATGGAATCATCTACAAAATTATGAAATGGACTGTTTAAGTTGGCAAACCTGTCGTTTTGCCCCCTGTTGAAAAACGTTCAAATCTTTTGAAATAACACTCGTATAATTTTCTATTGTGCTTTTATCGTCGGACTTGTAGATAAATTCAGAATAGTCTAGTAAATCCTGGCAAGTGAGATAACAAGTCACAGCAACCTAAAACATATTTTACTTTTTAACTATTATTTGTACATGGATTGCTACTTGTAAACATTCGTGTCTCGCGAGAGTCAAATTTTTTTTATCTGTGATTCCCCCAGGAATGGTTCGCGCTTCAATTATTTTGAACGGCTTTTCAATCTCAATGGAAAAAACAATCGAACTCATATCAACATTTCTCAGAATAAGGTAAACCGTCGGAATCTTCTGATGTTTGATGAGTAAATCATTAACGAAAATATCAATAATGGTTTCGTCACTTGATATGTCAACTTGCATAATCGGCAATTCCATCGTCACCAAGACTTCCACTTTAGTTGGAGTATAATCCACTCCAGACAATCTTTTATAATAGTTCTCTTTAAATCTATTTAAATTGATTTAGTGTTGTTAAAACATAAAAATAATCGTACTTATCCGTATTCCTTAGTCCAATAAATCCTACTAAAGTGTATTTAAGCTTCGTTGTCTCATAAATCGGATTAAAACCAGAGGCACTGATTGTGACACTTACAGTAGCTGTTTCTTGGGCATCCAAAACTAAATTCCATGGCTTCATCGTAATACATTTATTACAAGCTTCGCACCCGTAATAATCATGAGACATTACAAACTGCATATCATCTTCGTTGAAGTTTAGAAGAAAATTCACAGGGGCTGATGGTGGTGGCTTGTGCTCTTTATTATAGTAAGTGTGCCAACTGATTTGAATTGGGACAGCACTTATGTTGGTGACAGTGAAACAACTTGTGGTACTTTCAGTCGCATAAGCGATATTTTCAAAACTTAAATTTAAATTTTATAAGGTGCATGGTAGTATAGATGGGAAAAATACCGAAGAGTGGGACATGGCAAAGTTGTATTGCGGGCAAAAGGATATACGACTGGTAATCCAACAACTTCGACCATTAAATTAAAACAAAACGGGGTTAGGTCGTTAATTTCCACAATGATTTCTTCGAGGTACTTCCCCCAAGTGTTTGCGTAGATCCAGAGATCAATTTCGATGACTTCGTAAGGGATTATATCACCGGAGAAGTAAATTGGCTCGATTACGATACCATAACCGTCTAAACAAGCTTTCTCCCAAAAAAATTCTAAAAAAAATACGTAGCTGATACAGAGAAAAGGGTATAGTAAACAAACCCGGAGTCCTGGTTTTGGCTTTAACGAGTATGTGGTTCAGGCATTCGGCAGCGGGGCCGTAATTTGAAGCCTCAACAGTGAAATGTCCCTTAACTGGAGTTAGATTTTCGAAGTAGAAAGTTAGTTTTGTAGCTTTCCTGATTTCGATTTGTTTCGTCTTGATTGTAGGGTAAGTGGCGGCAACTGAATCTGTGCCAATCAAAGACAAAAGACTGTTGCGTAAATCATCACCCCCTTCGCTATCCGATACACATTCCCCTTTATCAGTTGTAAAAAAMCCATCTTCACCACGACTCTACAACCAGGAGCTAATATCCAGTTTAACAAAAGAAAAACATACAGCTGTGTTGTGGTCCCATACTGGCATTTCACTCTTAGGGGGCCAAATATACCTGTTGTATCCATTTTCCTCATCTGGGAGATAAAAATGCAAGTTAATGGTGGCCACCGAACATAGAATTCTCAAAGCAATGAGTCGTTCAGGGTCTCCAATGAAACAAGGAACATAAATGTTGTCAAAAATGCCACCGTTGAGTGCAGTTAACTCGACTTTGACGTCGACCGTGGCCCCTGGCTGGACGACTCCCGATTGGGGGTGGAATCTGAGACGCAACTTGTCGGCTCCGTCCCCTGTGGGTTTAAGGAAGTAGAAGCAACCCACCACCAAGCCGGAGTTGTGGACGTAGATTGTATACAAGGTGGGGATTTCGACATAAATAAATTCCCGAGGGCATAGCACGTGTAGCTGGTTGTCTGTGCGAATAGAAATATTGATTTCGGCGACTTGGTAAGCTATTATACAAACAGACTCTAGGGTGAAATTTTGGCAAGTGCAAGAAGGACAAGAAAAGAGGATTAAAATAGAAACCCAACGTGTGGCCTCCTGGAAAATGACAATGTGTAGCAAAAATAAGAAGAAATAAATTTGTACTTTGGCTTCTATCGTGTAGTTCAAATTCTTTTTATGTTTTCCTTTTAAAGTACCACTGTACTGGTCCAAACCATAGGCTTCTGAAGAAACGCAAAGGTACGACTTGTCAGTACAATGAATTTCCATGATTTTCCAGTCGATGTCATCATCAGTCAAATTTTCAACATTTATACTTCTAGAAACAAACACTCCTTTTGGAATTATGCCAAAATTGAGAACAGATTTTGATAGTCGGAGATACAGTGATGGGGACACTCCTTGGCTCGGAAAATCTAAACTGGATTAATCTTTCGAATTTTAGTGGTTGGCAACACTGTTTGTTTTTACCTGACATTCACAGTTGCAAGTTTAACGGGTTCCGGCAATTTAACTATACAGTTTATTTCTAGTTCAAAAATATGGACGTCTCCCAACTAGAAGTTGTGTTAAATACTGACTAATAAATGAAAAATTAACATTTACTTGTGAGTGGGTGAATAATTTGGCACCATTTTCTTGTTCATCTATACAAGAAGAATCACATTTATGATTAAACTGTAAATCGTTTATTGATGTAAAAGCGTCATAATTTTCTAAACTTGCATTCGGGATATTTTTTAAGTATAAACTGTGTAAAACATGATATAATTTGAAGCCTCATGAAATCATTTACCTTAAAAAAATGTGATAAAAACCTTCTGCTTCCGTGTCTGGCGTTAATTGAACGACCACGTCGGTTGTGCTAAAAGTTGGAAGAAATTGAGTGCCATATAAAATTTTTATCCAGTCAGGGTTCATTTTTTTCTTATTGTATACTTCAGTTGAGGTTTTTAACAGCCAATAATAATTAAAATATATAGGACTAAAAATAATTGTTTTGAATTTTTTTTTTGAAGTAAGGTTGCCAAACCTGTTATTCAAAATCGAAAAAATTACACTTGAAGTTTGTTTTGGCGCTAGAGTTATTGTAATTGATCGGTTATTATACGAAAAGGTGTTTTGCAATAAGTACATCTACAAAATAATTGTACACAAATGTATTCAAATATTTAGTTTGGTACGCCTAGCAAGTGTTGCCACTCGTTTAAAAAAAACGTACCAAACGCAATTTTTAAAAATTACGTTAACTTTAAGAAACTTATCCGAGTATAGGATACAATCTCCTAAAATTTCAATTTCCAAATGAGCGTTGTTGTCACAAATAATAACAAACTTTTCGGTAAAAACTCCAACTTTGTCTGGCACAAATGCGACAGCAATTTGTTCAATGTCGTCACTGTCGATATCAAACAAAGCTGGAAAGATAGTAAAACAGCCTTGTGAGATTTCGCAAGCACGAGTCCCTTTTTCCTACAAATTGTTTTTACAGATTTGTTTGTCCTCACATGAGTACCAACACTGAGTTCACTAAAAACCCATTCGTTTTCGGTCGTGATAAGAAAGCGCCCTCTGTTGCCCTGATTTTTCATAATCAGCGTAATCAACGAGTAATTCCCCAAAAGACAGGTTCCACAGTCGATAGTAAAATTTAAAGCAGTGCGTCTTCGCTCGGAAAAATATTTGCTTCCAGGTCCCGGTTTCCTCACAGCGTACCAAGGTAAGAAAGGATTATAAATGTAACAAATGAGTTTAGGGGAATCCCGGGCACTTGACACAACCACATTGAGGTCTGCTCCTTTGATTGTCCGGAATTTAATAAATTCGGTGTAGTTTTGGAAACTTTCAGGCCTAAATTCGACCAAGAATTCAGCTGACATTCCTGGAGCTACTCGTTGCGACTCTGTTAATATTTTCAGACGATACGGGCTGTCTTTTGGTAACAAATAATAATTAAAGTTTTGCGGTGATCGTGTTGTATTTATAAGTTTAAATTTTTGCTACAAAATTTGCAACAGTTTTGACAGTGAGGCGGGAAATTTAAACTTACTCTATAGACTTGACCGAGTTCGTAATTCCAGAAAATAATTTGGTGGGGCTCAGCCTTGAAAGGAGGAGTTACTTCAGGTTCGCTCAGGTCACATTTCCATTGCTTCTTTTTCACAGTTGGTTTTGTTTCAACTGTTTTGTCAGGGATGCAGGGGTCACACGTGTGTAAGCTTGGATTGTACGTGAAATCTAAATATTGCTCAATTTTATTCGGGTAAAGATCTTCTCGTTGAATTAATTCATAGGTTTGGGCAGCATTGTCTGATAATTTTTGGAAAAAGTCGAATCTCTTGAGACGCAAATTTTCAATAAGTGGTAAATTTTGCTCTTTTTGGATCATTGCAAGAGCATGATTACGCATCAGCTCCTCCTCTACATCCAAAATGTCACTCATGCGAGGCTCAAGGGCCTCAAAGACCTTAAGGAGGATTTATGACAGTTCTCGAACTTACTCACCTTGACTGTATCTAAACCTCTATTTTTTTGGTCCGTAAACTCGCCATCGACTATGTATTTTTGGTAATTTTCAGCAACATTTCGTGGGTATTTGTTAGCACAAAGACTGTTTTGTAAAATTTCATGAATAAGCGGGAGGATTTCGTGATCTTCATTTTGAGGGATTAAAGGTAAACAGTTCATATTGACGTATGGCAAAACTGACAGCTATTTACTAAAATCCTATATTTTCACTGTTATATACGTGAAAAAATCATAACCGAAATATTTACATATTTCAAGTATTTTACACTCGAAACGAAATGAACTTTTGAAATAATACAATAAATGCTTCAAAACCAAACTCATTGAACATGAAGAATAAAGACTTAAAACAGCAAAGATGCCTTGAAATAAACGACAAAACTAAAATCTATTTGTCCAACTCTAAGCACGCGTATTCTTCTGGTGTGACTTGCGTCATCATCACATTACCATCGGGTAACTTCACTAGCACTTTGTGCGTTCCACCTGGAACAAAACAGACAATTTCAAGCAACAATGATACGTCTGTTACGAACCTGGACTTGGAGGTTCGGCCCTCATAAACTGCACCACGAGGGGCTCCTCCGGGTCATGCTCCATCAACATTTGTGTCGTAGCCTCCATCTGCTGCTCCGCTGCTTCTTGGACGGCCTCCCCTGTCACCAACAGACACTGCTGTTGCCCCTCGCTATCATGCGTCACAAGAATGGTTTGCCCCTCCTCGTTTTGACCCGCCACTTGGTAAACCGTTCCATCATCCCCTGTGATATACATCGGACGATCGGCCGCAGCAAATGTCATAGTCGATCCATCTGGATCCACTGTTGGATCCTGTTGCGATTCTGCAGGTTCCTCGTCCAAAGACGGCATACTGATCACCTGTTTGGGAGCACTTGCTATAACCTTCGGCGGACTTTTCTTCACCACTGGTTGGGAGGCGGGGCCCGGTTTCGTCCTGTAGATAGTCGTGTTGCCAATTTTTTTCGCAACGTTGTTGGTTTTTGGAGAATAGACGTGTTTCGCTGGATTCATGGGGGCGATGTTGAATTTAGGTTTGGGAAGAGGAGTTTTGGGGCGCATGGGTGCGGGTCGAGAAGTCTGCACTGGGCTCATGGTTGTACGCGGTTTAGCTACGGATTGGTTGATGATTCGAGGTTGGGTTTTCGGTCTGGGAGATTGTAGTGTCTTTTGGAGAATATTCGTGTTTGCTATAGCCGGAATGAGGATTGATTGGCCGGTTTTAGCTTCCGTTACAACGGAATAGACCGTGTTGGTGGTCGTCGTTGGGGTAGTTTCAAGAGGAGTGGTGTTTGTTTCAGGAGTATTTTCAGAAGTGATGATTGGTTCAATATCTGATTTGAGATCTTCTTCAGTTATATCAGCGGCGGCTAATTTGACAATGTTGTCGATAGTTTGGGAAGGACTTTCTCCATTTTCTTCCTTTACCTCAGGTTTGGGTTCTAGCTCTGGGTAATCAACTCCTGCCACTTTCCCAGTTGTGGGGTCTAAAGTAAACTCTCTGGGGGGACTCTCGGGCTCAGGCAAGGGTAAATCGGTGGGAAATTCAAGTTCCGGGAGACCATCGTCACTATCCTCTTCAGGTCGGGAAGTTTTCGATTCTTCTTTCTTTTCCACGGGTTTAGCTTTCGGTGTTTCGACTTTTTTAACAATTTTTTCAGGCTCTTTTCGCACCACAGGTGTTTTAGTGATCACGTGTTGTATAATTCTAGGTTTTGGAGTGACTAAAGGAGACTGTTGCTGTTCTGGTCCTTTTACTTGCACTACCCGTTTGCTGCCATCCTCCTTTTTGATAATCCTGATTTGGGTTTGTCCAATCTTAGGACTCACTTTAACAATCGCTTGTCCTCCACTTGTCGCAATTTTCGACGCGGTTGGATCCAGTTTAATAATTCCAGAAGATTTTGACATGATGTAAACACCGGAACTAAGTGATGGTAATTGTTTCTGACTAATTCGGACGACTCCTTTGGCGTCAGGAATTAAGACATTATCGGGGAGCTTTTTGCCGACTCCATTATTGTAAGTGTGAATAATTTTGGCAACTTTACGAGCTGGAGTTCTAGGTTCATCTTCTTCTGTGTCTTCAGACTCATTATCAATTCTGATTTTTTTCTCAAAAGAGTCGTCGCTGTCGGCATCATCATCATAGGGTCGTTTTACGCCGCCTTCATCATCGGATATATTTCCGCACCAGGCTTTAACTTGGTTTAGAGCTTTCTGTTTGCTCGTACGCTGCGGCCGGCTGAAAAAAAATGTAAAAAACCGTTTTGTCTTAATGGTAACTTTACTAACCCTCCAGGTGTTGTGATGATTTCTTCAACAGGAGGAGGAGGAGGTTTCTTTTGTATAATTTTTACTGCTGATGGAGATTGTGGATTTAAGCGTGGTCTCCCTCTACCCCTACCAGTCCCTGGGGGTTTATCCTTTTCTTTCTCAGCTTTTAATTTAGCTTCATATTCCTGAACCAAAACTTTGCAGTTTTCTAGATGCGCCAAAGGCTCCCACGTTAACCTATTAATGTAATATATTAAAAAAAAATTTAAAAAAAAGATGTAACAAACTCTGAATAATTTTCCCATTTGACTTCATACTCCCAATATCTTTTCCTGGGATTAAATCTTTTTCCTACAATTTTTTCCACATTGTATTCTTCTTTGTCTTTTTCTGGAAGCGTCCTAATACCTGTTTTTTGATTCTGAAATAATCAATTTCGTAATTTTCTTACAGTAATGTGTATAGACACGTGTCCTCACCTCATTCTCAACTCCTGAAACACAAAAATATTACGAATTGTGCTTTAAATTAAGGTCAACTCACCATCATCTAGAGCAAGGGGGTCTTTTTCAACTGTGGTCTCTCTAAGTGGCTTACCATTGACGACTCTCGTAACAGAAAGCAACGATTTTCCAGCTGAAATCCACATATCTTTCTCCGGTTGTTCAAGTTTTGTCCATTTTTGGTAAATTTCCCACGAAGTGGGCACCTGCTCCTCTTGGCTTTTGATCGTTTTTATCTGTTTGTTTTTCCATAATGTGAAGCCCCAAATTTGGGGTTTCTCCTCGTTCTCGCATTTCAACACCGACACATTTGTGCACTTTCCTGCTTTATGATCTTGAAATTCTTCAATGAAGTGAAACACCTCATGACAGCCCCCACATACCAAAACATCAGTTTTTGACAGGTCTTTTTGTGAGTCTGCAAGACGAAAATTACCAACTTGACATAAAAAAAAAGATACTCACCTGTGATTAATTCCTCGTCTTTGGTAATGTCCAGAGGGTCGGTTGCGTTGTCTTCCATTGTGTATCTGCAAAATCATAACCTTAATTAAACTTTTTGTATTTAGCGCCATCGAAAAAAAATATTTTGATTGAATTTTATGACACCGCTTCGTTGGGAAAATGGCTGTTTATCCTTGACTGCTCTAAGGTTGCACATTTGACGCGAAATTAGAAATATTTTTGAAAAATTATTTGCTCATATGAATGGTGCTCCCTAAAGCACCGATTACGAATTTTCAACACTTCAAATTATTTCTCTTACCTTAAAAATTCTTTTTCATTTATGTTTGACGACTGCAAGCGTTCTAAACATAGCGATGGTGCTGCACTCTATAAGATTGTCCTGGCGTTAGTGGCTTGGCGGGAATTATTATTGCACACAAAAGAGCTTCTGAGTGCAAAAGGCAGTATTTTTATTTTAAAAAATAACAATTAGTTCAAATTAACACAGCTTTTTTTCACCAGTTGTATTTTATATCTCAATTTGTGTTTGACTGTATTAGTGACGTTTGTATTTATTTTTTAAGGTTGGTATTGCTAATTTTGGAGCTTTTCTTCTGTGCTTATTTAACTTTAATAAAAAATAAACAATTTTCTCTGCGTCTCATGTTTTTGTTATATTATTAAAGCTTGATGCATGACGAAATTTCAGTTCTATTTTTTTAATATAATAGTGTATATTTTTTGTGTGCAGCATCCAGTTGGCAACATTGAGTTGCAATAATAATTATTCAAAATAATCAAAAAATAAATATGTATACAAATTGATACTTATTCAAAGCTTTAATTTTTTTAATGTCGTTTTGTGCATTTCTTACACAGCTGAAGTTTAAATTTTTTTAATTACGAAAAATTTTGTAAACTCAACCAAAAAAATATCATATAAGTTTTTTTTAGACTTACCACATAGTTTCAAATAAAATACAACAAATTTTTATGTATTGTTATTTTTTATTTAACTGATTTTTGTGTTTATGGTATGCAACCAGTTAAACATGTTTTTATATTTTGAATACAGTCATTCATTTCTTTTCAATATTGTATCGTTTTTATTATCGATTATTCTCGACATGACAATTACTTTTCAAAAACTTTTGAATTTAATGAAAAGTGTCAATCAAGACAAACACGGAGTCAAGATGAATAAAATGGTTTTGATGAATTTTCTACGCCAGGTTATTTTTCTTTTGTTTATACTAAAAACTGTAGGTTTTTCGATTTGTAAAAATAACAGAATATAACTCCTAATTGTAGGTTAATGGTATAATCATGATATTTTCTGCAGAAAACTGCTCCTCGTTATTTCGAAATAATGAAATCCTTCCATTGGATAACAGAAAGCCTCATCATGCTCTTTTTATAACAATAGATCTCGTCACTGTAATTTTTAATGGATTTGGGATTCTTAATGTAATAGCAGGCTTAACCGGATTTGTGGGCGCAATTTACTTGCATAAATTCCCTATGATTAATTACTGTGTAAGCAATTAAAATTGAAAATCGTCATTAACTATTGATCTTAAGKCTGGAATGTGGTTTATTCTCTTGGCTGCGGCTGATTTTGGTTCAGTGGCTGCTTCACAAGTCTTGATCAATTCTTTAAATGGAATCGTCATTAGGGAGATAGTTGAGCTATTTGAATCTAGTAGAGAGGTTGTACTAGAAACTTATACTAGCATCTCTAAAAATCAAGAGATGTACAAGGCTTCTATGAAAGATGGTTGGGGCAAGAATGCTGTGGGAGGCCCTCTCAATCACTCGCTAATCGATTACATACAGATGAACGTAAATAAGCCCTACTTGGTTACACTTAACAGTGTTTTTTAGCAAAATTGTTGTGGTGTGTGGGGGCGCCAATCTTGGTTAATTATGGTTCCAACAAGTTGTTGTTCAGATCGGTACGACGATATAACTTGTAACTTTGCAACAGCTCATAGTATGAATTGTATGCAACCCTACAACAATTTTATCACATCTTTGTTCACTATCGAGATACAATTTTTTTTCTTTGGGGTGTTTTCAGTGAGGAAATGAAACACGTAGTTGCTTCAAGTTAGAAAATAACCAATTTTAGGTGGTCACGGTATTTTGTTCTCTGTATTTAAGCCGTCTCAAAATCAGGTATCCTGATGAAAAATACGACTCTGATGACTCTTTATCTTCTGATAGTGATGATTTGTTCTAGAATGTGAATATATTTATGACTTATTAAAAAAAATGCAAATGTTTAGAAACTTTATTGAAATTGTATTTTAGTTAAGATCTTGTCTCGCTTTTCTTCTCTGCTTTACCGCCTTTCGTACAACACACAACGCAAGTGCAGCTAGAGTATACTAAAAGACATTGTTTTTGCATTGTTGCAAGAAAAATAAATCATCTACCGCCACTACAGCTATACCAGCATTCAAAATACCACAGACCGATTTGAATGTTTTATATTTGTTGTCAAGACTTTTACTGCAACTCCTTTTAAATGCCGTGTGGTTGTTACATGGTGAGTGTTCACAGCAACTGTTGGGAATTTTCAAAGTCCAACTTTGGGGTCCATCCAAGCCGCAACATTTCAACTGAAACATATTTTGTTATCAAAAACATAAGGCATGTTTATAAAATTACTTCATTTTGGATTATATCCACATGTTGTTTGTGTTTGTATTTCTGGTCATAGGAATCGAATATTTTAGCGAAGGCTAATTTGGTTTTCTTGTCGCTTAAGTCGTAAGCCATAACAAAATTTATTATTGCTAACAATGTGTGGATAATTGCAATTAGTGATGCATTAAATGTGAGCTAAGCAAAAAATTAATACAAAATGCGATTCGTTCAATTTATTACCGTCTTGAGTTTCCATATTTTTTTCTTGATGATCCCACAGAAATTAATATTTATGATAATAAAGAGTAAAGAGCCGTCGACTAAACCAAAAATGCAATAACTCCTGACACGGCCATCAATTTCGCGGTATTTAATTAGAATAGCTAATGAAAAAACAAAAGTGATGAAAGCTAACAACTGAAAGAAAATTTGATTATTGTCTTATTGATTAAAAACCTACAAAATATATAATGTTGAAGAAGAGCAGAAGCTTTTTTAAAACGTCGCATTTTGACATTTTAACTAAATTGCCTACTTGGGAAATAAGAACGGAGAATTTTTGAAAGTACTGTAATTTTATATGTGCATTATGTGGGTTGTTCTCGTAGTATCCAAACGATGTATCATATAAAAGACGAGAGCGGCTTCAAAAAACTAAAAATAAATATTTGGTGTTTTTGCAAGTGTGTAATTGTCAATTTACTGTTAGCAAGAAAGCAGTAAATGAAATGGAAGCTACTGGTGTTAGCATCTCAGAATCTTGCAAGTTGGTGAAGACAGTTGTTTGATTGATAGGACATAAAACCTTGAATGCTTGTTCACGTTGACATTTAGAGCCCTTTGTCAAATTAGGGCAGCAACTTATGGGTAAAATATCATCCTGGGCAAAATCGTATTCTTTATTCCCGCAACATTGGTCCTACGGCATTTTCCAATTATTTTTGTCGATGTGACATAACTGAAAATAGATTAACTTTTTTTTGGATTATGTCGATGGCCCTTCTTGCTTTAGCACTTGTTTCAACCGATTCGTATAAATTTATTATTGGCATGTCTTGATCATTTCGTATGCAAATAATGATTGAGAAATAAATCAGCCATATGCACATCAGTATCAAAGCCATCCCATACTAAAAAGCAAGAGAGAGTTTTGGAATTGAAAAAAAAAAATCACCGTTACGAAAGATAAACAGTAACGATTGAGTCGAGCAAATCCAAACATGCCAAAAGCACAAATAATGCTTGATTGCATCAGGATTACCCAAAATATTAACTTAAAAGCATCGAAAATTCGGCTCAAATTTGATATAGTGTTTTTGTCGGACATCAGGACACTATGGATTGTGTCATCTGTTAGCAGAATGAGTAGCATCATTGCTGTGTACGCCAGCTACAAGATCTGATTACAAATTGTGGGTTTTTCTTAAAATACTGACCATTTTTGATATTATTATGAAAAGAGCAATTGACCGAAGAATTTCCGTACAAGGATCCATGCTGCCGCTTTTAATATTCCGCCGATCAAAAGGATCAAACTGTGTAGCTCGTCTTTGCATTCTGATCAATTTTAACTTCCCGAAGATTTAGTTAAAAGGGGACGTTTGAGCTGTTTTTCGTCAAAAATATAAATGTCAAAGATTTTAACAGAGCACTATGATCATAGATGAATAATTTATATAGGGTATATAGATGGCGTACTCATGTACAACCTTTTGAACTCGTATTCAGCAGCGCCTCTGTAGTTTGGACGCTGAACTATAGAGCAAAATGTGCCTTTTTTTAAATGGTAATAATAATGTTAATTGAGTATTTAGTAGAGGGAAATAAGTGCTACAGGCATCTTATTAGAGATTAAACAAAGAAAATAAAAGATTTTTTTAAAGTAATTTATTGAAGATATTGAATCAAATTAGTTAACAAGGTGGTTTCATACTTATAGGGATTATATTAGAACAATTATGTTCAAAGAGGAAGCATAAACAGTCTGGGTTGTCGAGTTCTTGTCACAAGGGTGCCGGCCGAAACAAATCTTCACATTTTTTCCATCAATGTCCACATTTTCATCACCAAAATTCACAAATTGTTAGTAAAACTTCCTWTACTTGTACACACAGCCCACAATAACTGAATAAAAATCTAAAAATCACAACTACACGTAAGCACTTTGAATTTCTATGAATGATGTCACCGTCAAAATTTAATTTTTTTCTATCAGAAGTGTCACAGCCAACCGCTAAAATTTTAAAATTTTGATACGAGCGCCTCTGGTGTTTGGACGCTAAATTAAATAGATAGACTGAATTCACCAATCTAAGAAACCATAGCATGACTATGATCAATTGATTACTTTTTTATGTGCAGCGTTCTCAAAAAAGTTAAAAACGTGAAGCGAAGCAAAAATTTCTGTTCTGTTTTTAATTTAAATTATGGTTTTCAACAAAATTTTTGCTATATCTTCATTTCTTACTATGAACTATTTAATATTCTATCTGCCTATAATTTTTTTGTTTGTTTTGTCATCATCTTCATTTAAATAAAGCAATTAAGAAACTAATGATTATGCTACCTTTGCACAGTCAAAATACTGCGGCCATTAAAACCATTGTTTTTAAATTACAGTCACGTTACTGAGACTATCATTTAATAAGAGCAGTGGCTTGACCTCTGTTTTTTTTTAACTGAACACAGGGCTATGTTCATAGCTAGTGCCATTGGCATTGTTTATTGCGGTAAAAAAGATTTGATTATTATTTAGGTAATCTGTGGTATAAGTAAGTGTCATTGCTTGGTTATACATACTTACCGACACTGATATCGTAATAGCTAAGTTACATGGATATCTATTCACTTGGTCTGACGCCATAAATACTCACTTACCATACTCAAAATGGAACCAGGAATCATTATTTACCAGGCAGCATGAAATAAATTACTACTTAAAATTGCTTTTTAGAAGCAAAAGTATTGATGGTTATGTAAACTCTCTTTTATAAATAAAACACTTTTATACTTTTATTTATATTAATTTAGAACAGGTCGGTTACACCAGACTCTTCATCCGATGAAGAATAATCGGCGTAATTACCTTCAGGATATTTTTTTCTCATATATGATAAATATAACGACACTACGCCCGCAACGGCCTAAAATTAACATTATGATATTAATTAATTAAGAAAAATGTTGTCTATAAGTACACAACAAAGATTATTAAACGACTCAAGAGCAATATTTAAATTTATAAAACTATTGCAGTCATTATAAAATGAGTAATCTTGATAATCCAAAAAAATTCTAATCAAAGTTGTTTCCAATTTTGAAATTAGATTGGCAACATTGAATAAAGAAAACAGAACAGAAAATATTTTATGAAAATTGGCAAGACTCAATAAGGTAAAGCAAATACGGCCCACTTAATTTTTACTATTTTTTATATATTTTGTGAAATATGAAAAGGTTTGGATTTATTATCGAAATTGTAATTTGAACTTTTGTTTAACAATGTGTACCTCAAAAATGCCTGTTTTGTTAACTTTTATACATGTTTTTAACATAAATATAAAATATTACAAAGGGTCCACCATCGACATTAGATAAGGCCCATATTTAAAATTTGAGATAGGATTTTTCATTAATCGTATAAACAGTAAGTTAAGGAAAAAAATCTTTAATAAACAAACAAAAAACAACATAATCAATACAAAAAAGTAAAGAAACTTCAAAACATATTGATATGTAACTATAAATATTTAATTTTAACATCCAACACAATGACGCATCAGTTAACATATTTCACCATTTACAGTCAATTAAAAGACATATCTAGGAGTAACTTGTTTGATTGATGATAGATGGCTGGAGGTCCAACGTAAGCTAGATGGTTTTAATTTTCTTCACAATTTAGACGAAAAATTAACACCGGGCCTTATTTGCTTTAGGTATCTTATTACTTTTTTGCATAGTGATTCTGAAAGTTGAATTTTCATCACGATTAATCGTACAGAAAGTTATACGTTTTTAAACGATTTCTATATAGTTATTTCTATAGTTTCTATAGAGATTGCAATACATTACGATTTGATTTATCAAGTTGATATCTTTTTGGTCTTTGGGGTTTTGCAAAGTCGTAAAAAAAGTATGACTTTCAAAACTAGTTGTACAAATAACTATTCTGTCTTAATATTGCTCAATGTTGTTTAAAATCAAAAGTCTGAATATGTTATAAAAAATCGTACAGAAATTATGGCAAAAACGCAAGACTCGTTCCGTAATCCCGCCGTGCATTGTCTGAAGTTATCATATTCATTTTCACAGGTTTTACTGTAAGCAACTTGAAGGACGCACTTTTCATCAGAATACTCGTCCGGACAACAACTTCGTGGAATGGGTATCTCCCAAAAAGGTCTTCCGATGAATCCACAACATTCCTGCTGTTTTACATAATTGTTTTGTTAAAAATTTGACAAAGTGGATTCAATTTACAGTAATTTGCGTAAAGTCGACAAATTCATGACTGGCTTTCGTTCCAATGGCACGACTGTGCCAGCCTTCTTCATAAGGCATATCCCACAAGGCATTGTAACCAACTATATCATCCGGGTCGATGGTATAGTTTATAAAACCGTTGGTACTCACAAAAAGCTTTTCCACATCTTTCAAAATCAGGACATCGAAAGAATTGATCAAATAATCGAAGACTCTTGCCGAAGTGGCTTCTATCGGAGCCATATGTAAGAAACCCAATCCACTCTTGCAACAATAGTTAACTTTTGTTTCAAAAAATTGGGGGAGACTTACCGCGAAAATGATTAGTGGTCGCGAATTTAAGCAAATAGCCCCCACGAGCCCAGACGCGCTCAAAAGCATCAAGAGGAAACCGATACTGTTGGTTAAGCTGTAAAGAAAGTCTACGGTGAAATCTATTTTGAGAATTGGAGCTTTGGAGTTTAGAGGAAGAAGACTTTGTTTGTCAAACATGTCCCTGCAATTTTCCGACTGGAATATCATGGCAATGCCATTGATCTGAAAATTTTACATTATAAAAAGGCGATTTGCTAGTCGACACTCACAAATTTCAAAATGATGAGCAAGAAGAGCAAGTGGCGGAGAAAACTAACAAACGCGGCTTTGTTCATTTTAAATTTAATGACGTTTTTCCAGTGACATTTACAATTATCAAATATTCATATTTAGTAATTTTTGCGGAATATCAAGTGAATATTAACGATTTTTGTAATGGAAGGTGTGTGATGTTAAGACTTGAGACTTTTGATTCAATAAGTGTAATTCGAATTCAATAAACACAAAATATAAAAATTTAAAGACTCTTGAAAACTAGGAAGAACATAAATATAAATTAATATATTTTACAAATGGTATTCGATATTTTCATCTGTTTGCTTTCGCTTCGACTTGGAGAATTCGTAGACTAGGTTGAGGACAAGCCCTATTTGCACCAACTGTAAGAAAAGTATAAGACTGTTTTCCAATACTTGTTGAAGCTTACCGATGCTGCAGTAAGAGGTATAAAAAGTAGCATTACATAACCTGTCAAATAGGCGTCTTTTATTGCTTTGCATACAGTTAAGCGAGTAATATTGCAGACGTTTTTGTAAGCATTGTGGTGAAAACACGCCGTTGTGTTGACTGGACAGCAACTCTCCGGTAAATTATAATAATTTTTATATCGAAAATCAGGAGAACCGCAGCAGTTGTACTGTAACAGAAGCCGTCAGAAAAAGAAACACTTTGAAAAATAACCGACAGTAGTCTGTATTATGTGCACGGCTCTTTTCAATTGCCTGTTCGTTTCATAATTGAGAAAAAGTTGTTTTTTTTTAATATCAGTGTCATCTCTTACGAGACAGGCAACTACTCCTATGTATGCGAAGAAAATGATGGAGTAAATCAAAACTATGCCATACTGAAAAATGTTCTCTGTTTTTTAAAAATACAACTTTTAAAACATACGAAAAACAAGACATAACGACTAGAACACCCGTAGCCGTAAACAGCCAACAGTGACACAAGAAGTGAACATGTTATAATCATAATTACAAGAATAATTATCGTATTTTCAATATTTTTCAAGTATGGGATATCTTTTTTCTCAATTAAAAGTATGTTGTAAAATGGCTGCCTAGTACTTGTAACTAGCATTAAAATTGCAAGCAGAGTTAGCTGAAACTTCTAATTTTAATCACATTTATTAGAGAGGTAGTTACCAATTTTGTTATTGTGAAAAATAAAGCTGTTGAACGTTTGAGCTCAAGGTAAATTGGCTTCTTTCTTCGTTTCTTCCTCGATTTTTTCCTCGAATGTGTGACTTCCATTGCCCCGAGCTTAAGTTTTTTGGTAGATTGTTAACGACATTAATGACAGATATCACACTGACAGAGTTTATTTAAAAAAAAACTATGTTTTATTAAGCCACCACCACCACCCACCACGCATTTTTTTCAAATTTTCGGTATCTCTGAACTGTTAGTTTTTAAAAATGCTTTACTGCATAAAATACTCTATTGTAGCTTTTTCTGTTACCTATTTAATTTTTTCTACTTTCTGTTACTATCTTTTAATCTTTATATGGTTACTCATCCAATTTTTTATCAAAGATACAAAATATTAGTCGTTACACTTGAGTAGATTGTTCCAAGTATGAGCATTTATCTGTTTTGTACGTAGAATGGAATGCTGAATTTTTTACGAAACTAAATAATTCATAACTTCGAAATTTTTATAGATAAATTTTTTTTTACATTTTTTACATGTTCTTGGTATCCTATCTTATATGGCATTTTTCTCTGGGACGCGAGTTCTGGCGCACCCTGTATAAAGTTTATTTCACACCTTGATGCGATTAGGTACTACTTTTTTAAATAACGTTACTTTGAACTGAACTTTATTTTATAATTATTGAAATCACATTAATTATCACCATTCGCGATTGAATGTAAAGACCACAGACTAGAAGGTAAATAAATAAATAGAAGGTAATAAACCTTTATTCTTATTTCAAATTTTTTCAAATTTTTCAAATAATTAAATTGTTATTCAGTTCAGCTATACTTATTTGATTTTTCTACTAAAATAAATAAGCAAATTATTATTATTTATTGATAATTATTAAAAACAGCCATCATAAAAATCAATTTAGAGTTGCTTTTTCAATTCTTTTTGTTTTTCTGCTTCGTTTAACTTGTGGTTCAAATTTAACAATATCCTGGCCAATCTGGAAAAATAGTTAGTACTGCTTCTTCTTTTAATTTTGGCTTTTTGAGATAAAATTTGACAAAATGCGGATAAACTGTTTCAATCTAGAAAAAATATGTTTTATGGTGTTTATAATTTTAATTAATTTTCTTTAGATTTACCGTATAACAACCTGTTTTTATCTCACGAATTATATGTTTTGCTTTAAAAAAAATTTTACACATATGATCCTTTACAGTGAAAATACAGAATTTTTGGAATTATACGATTAGGCAACATTTTCCGTGGTAGGTATCGGAAATAAAGATAATTTTTCATTATTTTTAGCATAGCCACTTTTAAACTTGGGCAAACAACATTTTTTCCTATTTCAAAATGTATAAACAGGTATTAGAACAATATAAAATTGCTGAAGTAACCACTTCAGGTGCACTTTATTAGGCGGACTTTCGGAAACGAATGGCCCGCATATGTCATCTTTGTCTAAAAATCGCATGACCAGTTCGGCCACACTTTGCATGTGCTCGCTGCATCACCTAAATATCTTACACCATGATCATGACAAAAACAACGATTAAAGTTTTATAAAAAAGTTTATTGATAATTTTCTGAATTAAGATTATGATCTGTTTTTGACGACAGTGGCCAAAATGGCGCATGCAAGCTGTAACAATATTAAAATTACAATCTACTTACTATTGAACAATTACTTCAACTTACTTCAAGTTTTACCAATGCGAGGGCAATGTAACCAATGATTTTAATGTTATAAGTGATTACTTTTTGGAAGTGTGTCGCGCAACCACTTTTGAAAAGTTTACCTTGTTCTTTCTTGCCTTTATAACAACTATCTGGTGGATTTGTCCAATAACTGTGTCCATCAACGCCACAACATTTAAACTACAATGGGTCCAAATAATGTCCGTGGTTAACCATCCGCACATTCGGACGAATATCATTTTGTTCTGTCCGCTATCCGTCCGTACAAATTAATGTACAAATAATGTCGTCGGAACATTATTGCGGAAGGCAAGTATGCACATCGAAGTTTAGTTTCTGAATTAAGTTAATGTTTAATGTTTTAAATGCTTATGGACTCCGAGAAAGAATAAATTGCTAAACAATTTGCGGAGGGGCCTTTACTAATATCAGTCATTTCTTTCAAGTCTTCCTTTACCAATTGGATCACAAACAAAAGTCCATAAAGTTTAGTGACGTATGTACCTACCAATAGAAATTTAAATATTTGATATGAAAATGTTAGCAAGGGCCTCTGTGCAAAAATAGTTAGCTAGAGGCACTTTTAATGCTTTTTCAAGTGGTATTGTAACATTTATTCACTTTTGGAATTAGTAGGTACCGATTGAAAATAGAAACTTAAATTCAACAAAACTTGAAAAATACATTTAATTATACCTACCTAATGCATAATGCCTAATACATGCGCAAACACGTTGAAACGTTGAATGAGTACACTAGTGTACTTGTTGGTGTATACAAGGTGATTCACGAGGAATAATGAGCCTGACCAAATTCTCGATGCAACCACCATTACTTTTCGCAAGTTATTTTGCGACAACTGTAATGTTGGTTGCATCGAGAATTTGGTCAGGCTCGTTATTCCTCGTGAATCACCCTGTATACTTATTCAACAGTTGAAGGTAACCCCACCACTGTTGTATGAAGTCTTTCTTCTTCTTTTTTAAGTCTTTCTCTAATTTTTATTTTTCGGGGAAACTCCAACTTATTCTAATTTACTAATCTAATAATAGGTTAATAAGAAAACTTACATAAGTAAGACGCATTATTTCACCGAGTGGATTTTTAAACCACGAGTGTAACGAGGTGGAATAAAGCGTCCCATTTACACTCAAAAGAGCTGTTAAAGCTAATCTGACGTTTCGTATTGAGAAATGCCAAATAGTTGTCAAAAATTCCTTACACGGGAGAAAAACTGTAAATTTTGACAGTGTCGAAGAATAAAATTATTGTATTCGTCCGTACAAATGTGCGGACGGTTAACCACGGTCTTCAATAATAATTGTTGTTGCAATTAAGTTTAAAAATAAACTTACGTCTTGCTGGATTGTATCAATTACTTTTTTTTTCTCTTTTGTTGGATCTTTTACATAATCATCAAATACATTTTTGACAACTTCTCTCACTTTTTTATCAAAAGCTTTGTTGACATTTTTGATTGCTGCGAAGGCCATAACTCCCAAGGCAATTTGCAAAATCAATAAAACAATAATAATGATTATATACTGCGAAAAAACTTTAGTTTCCGAGCAAAAATAATATGTTATTACTTACAGTCTTTAACATGCAGCCATTTTCCCTAATAGCTCCCCAACATCCGAAGAAAGCGATAGCAAAAACTATGAGACCAACAGCGATAGCAAAAGCACTAACAGAAAAGTTGGTGACTGAGTCAAGACCTTTGTTTTCATTCTTTACCATAATAGCACCCATTGCTATAAGAGCGATGCCACTTAGCTATACAGAACGGTGAAAAATTTAGATGAATTGGAAATAAATAGTCGAAGACACTCACCACTACTAAAAAATTGAACAAAAATAACAAATATTTTACCAATCCTGAAATACACCCCATTTTTCTAAACTGAATTTGATCGAGACAAACCGTCGTCTGCGTTGATTGACAGTAATAAAGTCTATGCAATAGGCCAAAATGGCCAAAAGCGTGAACTTTTAAAAATGGTAAATTCCGGTAAACGCGCGCATCATGCTCCAAAGAAAACTGTAATTAGTGAAATTTGAAAATTTGCAGGAAATTAAATGTGACAATTATTGAAATATTTAATCAAATATTGATCTGTCACACATCCAATCTATTTTTCCAGCTTAAGAAGCGCAGTATTAATAGCGTCGTCAGCGTTGATTGACAGTACTGACAATCAACGCAGACGACGATTAATAGTATCATTGTGTTTCAGACATTACATTATAATACCAAATATCCAAATTTGCTGTGTTCCAAACTGTGGACAAGGGGAGAAAGAGGATGTTACTTTACATTAATTTCCAAAAAGTAGAAATCAAAGAACAAATGGATTAAGAGAATATTTGGTACCATCGGCAATATACTCTCAAATTCCGTGATTTGTTGAAAACTCTTTGAAATAAGGAGATATTATAAAAACAAAAAATTGTTACCAAATGCAGTTCCATCCTTGCTGTTGAATTATAAAAGAATTACTTGTTTTCAGATAATCTCTACCATTTCCATTAATTCAGAACGTAAACCATTAGAAACGCCTGCACCGTGTTTCCAATCTCTAACTCATTTGACAAAAATGATTTAATTTCAAGTCCATTTCGATTTGATTTTGATCATCAAAGCGATTTAAAAGTAGGTGATACTCATGATTTTGATGTAAAAAATGTTTCAGATGCAATAAGTTCGGAAGAAAAATTTGTCTTACTAGATAAAATTCAAAATTTGGATAAAAAGTTACAGGAGGCAATTATAAGATTTCAAAAGTTAAATAAGCTGTACGAAAATAAACTAAAAAAAGAAAATATAGGAAAAAAATTGACAATTACAGTAAAGGTCAACATTATTGTGTAGTGAAAAGTGACTCAGATGTAAAAGACTTAGAACCAAGGGCTGTGTTTTTACTTGAGCAAATTTATAATTATTCCCTAAAAAAAAACAAGATGGTTTGAAGTTACAGTACGTTATTGTATTGTCTGGAGGTATGTACATACACTTCTCTTGCTTGAAAATTTTCTCTGGGGCGCGAGTTTTGGCGCACCCTGTATAACCCAAATGTAAACATTTTTTTTTTAATAAATAATTTTTTTTTTTTTAGAAATGAGTTTAATTTAATAAATAAAATAGACATGTATAAGTAAAAATTACAAAACAAAAGTTTCGGCTAATAAGGCGGACTCTGAGAAGGTGCCCCGAATGCTAGCAGCATTTCCACGTTGAATTGCAAGGGAAATCTTCTCAAACAGGTATTGTTCAGCTTTTTTTTCGCCAGAAACAGATATCAGCTTTTTACCAATTATATTGAGGAAATCAAAAGCTTCCTTAGACCAAGGGCCTAAAGTTTCGTTTCAAAAGCTAAACCTTTAAAAATATAATTCGAAGAAATGATAGACTTATATTTGTTATGTTTTCGATGACATGCTATTTCAGCAGCAGAACCTGAGGTTTCACAAGTTTTTGATAAATAACTGTCGGCAAGGGTATCTACAACGGTAACATCCCATACTAAAGCTTGTCTTTTATACCACGGAACAAGTGTCGAACCATCAGGGCGCTTACCATCATCGCGGGACAGGCCCTTCGACTCCAAAGTTGAATTTATATGTATAGATGTTAATGTACGGTGAATTATTGAATTAATTTCCGTGTGTCTTGAAAATCTACCACTGCTTTTCGGACAACTAAGACCATGAATACCGTTTTCTTGGACAGCGTTACACTTGCACGTATGAGGTGTACAAAGATTACAACCCAATCTCAAACCAATACAAACTTGAAATGAAGTATTATCCAAGAAGGTGCCAATGTTAGGAGAAGGGATTGAGTGTAACCAGGAACCAGATTCTCTGCATTGCAAAGCTTTAAATCGAGTCAAATCTCGAGGAGTTGTGAAGATTAAGTCATTCATAATAATGCGTTTGATGTTAATATTATCCCAATTCTTCTGATATTCTGGAAAATTTGGTGTTTTGTTTTCATTCTTTGAGTTCCAAGCTGCCAATGCATCATTA